CCCCTGAAAGACACAAGCTTACGTAGGCTGTGCTGTGACCTAGAATGCATAGCTTCATCCTGAGTTTAAGGAAACAGACAGACACAAAGGGAGAAACAGTCCATGAGAGAGATGCATGTGATATATTCACCAGAAAATTCAGCATCATCCAAGCAAATCTGTGGAAATGTCCGGGTAAAGAGACAGGACAAGGAAATAGAGTTTCTGATCCTAGCTGTACCGGTGCTGGAGGGGAAAAGGCTATAGCGGTGTTATTGGGCCAACAGACAAAACAGGAACTGACAGTAGATGAAAACACTGTGTCCTGTCGTTGATAGCACACTGGTTCCGTGTGAGCATAGTCAGGTCTTAGGTCCACGCACTAACGTGTCCGGCCTCCTTGGGTCTCTTTGTTCTTGACTGAGAGCGCTATTTAGAGCCTCCTGTTCTCATGATGCAGGAGGTCATGGGTTCCTGTGAGAATGTGAAAGCTGTGAGAGATGTTTCTGAGCCTGTAGAACCCCATGGAAACTCCTAACTAGGAGCTCTGGTGATGGCTTCTGCTGAGCTGTCCAGGTACCACATTCTGGAGTTCTGAGAACACAGGGCTCCAATACAGACCACTCATCCAAGTGGTTCAGGAAGGGCCTGATATGTAGGGAGATTCAAAATATAGAGAGGAAAATGAGGTAATGGGGTGACAGGATAAAAGAGGTGAGCTGGGTGTTCTATCCCTATTCTTGTTCTTGCAAAATTTTCGTGGGTTTGCCATATTTGCTAAATAAAATGCTAAAACACCAGTGGCTTGGTGCCAGTAATCATTCAGACAGTGCCTGTTGTTAGAAAGAGGTCAATATGAGGAGGAGTATGATAAGCCTCTGCAGAGAACCATGCAGCCAGGCACCTTTGGGGACGGCCCCAGGGTGGGGGTGTGACAGTGGTGGGCAGATGTCAGGAAGAGATCTCGAGGAACTTACATTAAGCTGGGACTACTCGCCAGTGTGTCAAAGAAGCAACTTTGTGGGCAGTGGAGGGTCCCCGGCTGAGTTCTTTCTCCTGCTTTCCTGGTCCCCTCCTCTGCCTCACTTTCATCCTCTCCATGGTGTAAACTGTCACAATGAGATCCACTTCCCAGAATCTCAGGCTGTCCACGCTGGGCAGGACATTCATAAGCCTCCCATTGCATGGGGTAAGTGAGAGGATGGTCCAGTGGGTTGAGTCTCAGGTCTGCTCTTACACGACGTGCCTGAGCCCTTCTTGTTCCACCCAGGACAGCATGGCAAGGTGTTGTTTTAATCTCCTCCTGAATATCTTCTTGAGGGCTTGGACCCACTTTAGATGAGCCTAAGGATGGCAGCAGGGCTCACTAGAAAGAGTTCTGTGCTGGGAATCAGGACACTTGGCTCTAACTATATGGCAGTGTGGCCTTGGGCAGGTGGCTTTCCCTCTCTGAGCCTTGGTCTCTCCGTCTTGTAATGAGGAAGTCGATTTACTTTAGATGGGCCCATGCCCCCATTGAGAAAGTATGGCCATGGTGGACACCTCACACTTTGAGATGCTTGGCATTTCCAAAGGTTCATCCACCCCTGGGGAAACTCCCTGCGGACTGATTGCCTTTTAGTGGGACTGCCAGTTTCCATGCTAGCACCATCAAAATAGAGTCCCTGAGTCCCCAGTCCAGACAAAGGGAGTTGAGCCCCTCCTTGAATCCCTTTCACTTTGTTAAAGAATTAACTCACCCTTCTCAGGGCTCAACTCTGTCTGGCTAGAAGGACATTGAACCAAAATTTTAGTCACCTCCAGAGCAATAGAAGTTGTCTACGATACAAACTGAAAGTGGCTTGAAGTCAACAGTCAGTTTCTCTTTGCCTTCATCTGGAAAATGTCCACTTTTAGCCACAGTCCATGCCTGTTGGCCTCAGAGAGAATAAGTAAGCCCTGTGGGAATCACAAGACTACTGTCAGCCAATGGGGATAAAGAAACTGCCTAGCAACTGGTGCATCACTCCCACCTCACTCAGTCACATGAAAGAGGCTGCTCAGCAAGGCTAGACCAAGACAAATTTAAACCCATCTCCTGGGACATTACCGGGGACAAAAAAATAGAGCATTTAATTAAGCCCCACATGTGAGCAATCAGTTCCAATTTTCTACCTCTAATTTAGTAGAGAATTTCCTGCATAGAGACAGTACAGAATCTTGTAATGTTGACGATGGGTTCCCCTAACGTTGGGTTTAAACTTTTCTTTTAGCCTTGGTGTGCTTTTGTGGAGAGCCTGGCAGGTGCAATAGAGGACAATGGAGATGCTGGGTGGGAGCCAGTCACAGAGCCGGGCAGAGATGTAATTGGGAATTATTGCACCAGAACCAGGGCACAAACAAGGTCTTCAGTTAAAAAAACCTCCTCCCACTGGAAGTTCTGGGGGTGAGCTTTCTACCTTGTAAGGGGAGCAATGACAGAGGTGACTCCATTTTAAGTGAGCAAAAGAGCAAATCTCTGCAACAAGATGCAGCTGCACAATGTGGGGAGTGGGACCCAAGGCCAGGACAAACTGACCAGACCCTTCTAGAATGGCCAGTCCAAAAGGAGAGGGACAGACAGGTGGTTGGATTTAATAAGTTGGCTAGGTGCCAACCAATCACAAATGTAGTTTCAAGGTAGAATAACTGGACCTAAGCCAGTCAGAGCCCTATATTATCCACTAGACTTCGCCTTTCTTTCTTCACTAAGTCCCACCTGCAGGGTGCTTCGTTATCCTTTCAATAAACTTTGTGCTTGCCTTAATCTTAACTCCTGGTCCAGCATCTTCAATCATTGACTACGCCAGGACACGAACTTGGGATCAACAATTCCAGTAATGACCTCAGTTCAATGGGCTATAGATGGCACCGTGGGGGAGGGAGGGGTGTCTAGGAATTTTCATATTCTTCTAACATTATCATTTGCCAGTGGAATGCAGAACTCTGCCTGCTGGGCTGGTCCTTTCCATCCATAGCAGCCCCAAAGGGACTCTGTGGAACTCTAGTCGGAGAACCACAGATCTAGCCAGACCCTGCTGTAGACAGGGACGGAAAGAGACTTGCCCAGTCACAGACAGAGTGAAACACCTGGGCCCCACCCACGTTGTCTAGCCCCTAGGAGGGTAAATGGGTGACTTTGTCTTTTTAATATCTTGCCTAAGAGTAGTTACATGTAAAAAAAAAAAATTAGCCCGGAACAAAACACTCATATAGCTGCTGCCCAAGGTGCCCCAGAACACAATGCCCAGGAGATTCTGTTAGTCACTTCCTGGAGTGCTGTGGCATGTCCAGGGGAGGAAGAAGGGGGAAGAAGTTCTTATAGGGTGTAGGGGCTGTGTGGTAACCACCTTGTAAAGGGCTTACTTGGAGAAATGTCAGCTTGGGAAGGACTGAGGGTACCCCAGTGACTGTTGGGATCTAGAGGGTTGGGACTTGGGCCTGCATCAGAGGGAGGAGTTGAGGCACCCCTGAGGCCAACACTCACTTCAAACCAGGAGCTCCTCTGGACCAGGGCCCTTGGCCGTGCATTGTGTTCATGGGAAGTGGTGCCTGACACATAGCTGGCCTTGGCCAAATACTAACAGAAAGACGAAGCTGTTACCAGAGATAGAATGCTGATTGCTCTCACACGCAGTTACATCACACCCACAGGCCCCTGTCTACCTCATCGTCACCTAGTTATGGTGCTTCCTCCAGTGGACTTGCAGCCAATAGTTAGCCATGTCGTGAGGCCACATGGGGCGTGCCATGGAGACACCTCCCAGGTGTGCTGTGCTAGAGGACAAAGACCAGATATCAGGACTTGACAACTTGCGTGACTAGTAAACAGGGAGGAGGTGGGCCTGCCTGCAGGTCTTACCTGAACAACTCAATCGCTCCCTGTTCCAGACTGGTCTCACAAACCTCACCCACAGTCTGTCCACACCACTCTGTCCTCTACAGAGCACGAGGTCTACCATCTTCCCACTCCAACTCACCTCCCCAGCTTTGTCCCTCCCCTCCCCCCAGGTCCCCTGCACACTGAACCCCCCCTTGAGTCTCAGGCAGCCTTTGGGCACCAACTGCTCAGAGTCCCTTGTCCTTTCCCGCTAGTCTCATTGTGCACTGCCTTATCCCAGTGACCTGGTTCTATATTTGCTTCCTCCACTGGATATTAGGGGCCGATGTTTGTTGAATGAATGATAAAGACATAAGTATATCCAATATAAGCTAGGAAGCTTCAGCAGCTGGGGCCTGGTCTGGGGAGCCAGGAAGGAGCAGACTTAAGGTGGCTGCTGTTTCTGCCCTGAAGCCGCGTGGCCTCCATGGTGACTTTAGCTGAGCATGGATAGCTGAGGTCCCCGAAGCTTAGGAGGATCCAAAAACAGGAGCAGTTCTCCCAGGATGCTGTGTAGCCCTGCATCAAGTCCAAGGGAGATATCCCACCAGAGCGCAGTCAGCCAAGGGAGCCAGCTGTGTCGGCAGTGGCACGCCTACCTAGACCCAGGCAAGTCAGGGGGTGGCAAACTTGTGACCACCAGTCCCCAACATGGGATTTGCTGCAGAGACCAGCTCTGCCTACTTTGCTAAGAGCTTCCAGAGCCAGGGAATGGTAAGCACAGAGCGCAATTGCCCACGGAATTCAGGAAGGGTAGAGATGGGGCTCAGGAAAGAGGGTCTGGGGGGAGCAGCCAAATTCTGCAGGCTCCATATTCAGTTGTCGGTGAGGACCAGTTCTGTGGGCAGAGAACTCAGGAAGACTGATGGGCCCAGTAAGATGGGCTGTGCTCAATGCATCAGCAAGGAGAGTGGGAAGGAAGTGGGTTGGGTAGAATCAGCATGGATCTGGAGGCCATGGGGTCCAAGGATGGCACAGACAGATGGACATATTTGGTCTTGAGCCCTTCTTCCTTTGGGAGTGTTCCCAGAGCTCTCAAGACGCCCCTTGATGGTCCACACCTGGAATTCAAGATCTTTTTTTTTTTTTTTTCAGCCTAGGGCAAAGGGTTGGAGTGGTCAAGTTACATGTAAGTGACAGGGGAGGCCGGGCCCTCCAGGACCGGGTCGTCCACATCGGTCAGGAGCTCGCGCTCGCTGGTGGAGCTGGTGGTTTGGAGGCGACAGAGACGGGCTTGGAGCCTCTCCTGCTCCTTCTTGAGCTCCAGGTAGGAGTGGGAAAAGGTGTGGAAGATGGACGTGGCCGGGAAGGCCATGATGAGGATCCCACTTAGGATACTGCTGAGGGCCACCATCTGGCCTGGCACGCTGCGGGGTACCATATCCCCGTAGCCCACCGTTGTCATGGAGATGATGGCCCACCAATAGGAGGCGGGGATGCTGGTGAACTCCAGGACCCGCCCGGACTCATTCTCGGCCACGTAGACCAAGGGGGAGAAGAGGGTGACGGCCACGGCCAGGAAGAGCAGCAGCAGGCCGAACTCGCGCGCGCAGCGGCGCACGGTGAGCCCCAGCGTCTGCAGCCCCAGCGAGTGGCGCGCCAGGCGCATCACGTAGAGGATGCGCAGCGCCCGCAGCACGCGCAGCACCAGCCCCACCTTCTCCAGGTAGGAGCTTCCGCTCAGCCTCTCGCCCGCCTCGGGGGCCTCCTCGGACACCGCGAGCGACACGTAGTACGGGGAGATGGCCAGGATGTCGATGATGTTCAGAGGCCCTCGGAAGAACTGGCACTTGTTCCGGGCCTGGACGAAACGCAGACAGAACTCCAGGGAGAACCAGGCCACGCAGATGGTCTCCACCACGAAGATGTAGAAGCACTTCCGAGAGCACTCGCCCTGGGACAAGAGCGAGAGCGACAAGAGAGCAGCGTGAGCGAGCTCGGGACAGGACACGCCCCCAGCCCCGCCCCGCCCCCAAGCCTTCCCAGAGGTGGATGTGGGTGGAGCTGCCCACCTGTGGAAGGTCAGGTTGTGCCTAGGTATCTGGTGGGTCAGCTGGGTGGGAGCCCTGCCTCCAGCTGTGGCTGAATGCAGAAATCCTCACCTATAGAAGACCAGCTCAGGGTCCAGGGCTTCGGACACTGGCATGACCTCCTTGGCACTGACCCTCTTCCCTGAGGGCACAGGTGGGTGCATCCAGCTCCAAGCCCCGCTCCCATTAGGCAGATCCTGGACCATGCCACAGGGGAGAATGGACCATCCAGGTGGGAACACCCGGGTCTCAGAATGAGAGCTGCTGGTTCACCCAGACCCCTCACCAGGGGAATGTTACATGACAGAAACAAATCAACTTTTTTTTTTTTTTAATGGTGTACTGGGGTTTGAACTCAGGGCTTCACAATTGCAAAACAGATGCTCTATTGCTGGAGCCACACCTCCAGTCCTACTTTAGTTATTTTTTGGATAGGGTCTCCCATTTATACCTAGGCCCTTGAACTGAGATCCTTCTTCCTAATCCTTCTGCATAGTTGCAATTATAGAAGCATGCTACCACTCACACCTGACTTTTTGATTGAGATGGGAGAATCTAGCTGTTTTTTGCCTGGTCTGGCCTCGAACCTCAATCCTCCTAATCACCTCCTGAGTGGCTGGAGTTGCAGGCATGTACCACCATGCTGAGCTCCTCAACTTCCATTTTGTTTACAGCCAGTTATCCTGGGCTTCCTTGTTATAGCAGCCACCCTTTGCCTTCATAGATATAAACTCCTGGGCACATGCACTGTTCCAGTGCTGTGCCTCAAGCCACATGCAGTCCTGTCAGCACCGTGTGACCTCGTTTTATGGCCCAGCATATGAGTTGCAGCCAGTCAGGGCTCGCCTGTGCTCACATCCCTGGAAGTGGTGGTGGCCTGGGCCACCCCAGGTCTCCTAACCACTATATGCTGATTTGTAGCTTCTTTGTCTACCCACCATGGTTCCTAAGGCCAACAAAGATGATGGAGGGCCCACTTTGTGCCAGGCACTGGGCTGGCCATGGGGGTTGGGGTGACCTGAGACATAGATGTGGTTCTGGGGGCTGGAAGCTGGTGGACAGGGAGGTTTGTGAGACTGCAGTCCTGCCCCTGGGACACCAGCCAGGTGGGGTGTCCTGCGGTCACCATTGTCTTCTTAGTTTCCTGCCCTGGGCTCCTATCATAGCCCTACTGGCCCCTTGCTACTCAGAGTGTGGTCCTTGAACCAAGAGCACCAGCCTCCCCCAGGAGCCTGCCCCCCACAGAATCATCACCTGCAGTTTAACAACATCCCCAGGTGGTTTCTGAATGCATACAGTCTGAGAAGCCCTGCCCTAGGACGGGCTTCTATGCAACCTTGGCTGTACACTAAAGTCACCTGTGGGCGGGGCTTGGGGACGTCCTGAGGCCAGGGTGGTCTCCAGAGATTCTGATGCAGTCGATCTAGATTTTACCTTCAGCGGTAGAAATTTCCAGAAGTCTCACAGATGATTCTAATGTGAGGCAGGGTTGAGAACCGGCTGTAAATATTGTTTGTAATGAATATGCTATAATATTTATATGTAATATATGCATATATGTATATATGGAACCTGGCTGTAATGACTAAAGCCATCTGCCTATGTGGAAAGCAAAATGCTGACAACTGCACTGTTTTTTCTTTTTTGTTTTTTTTTTTGAGTGAAAGTGCTCTGAAGTGGAAAAAGAACTTATTTCCAGTGCCTGGACACAGAGAAATACTACATTGAAATGTTTTCTATGTCTGGTTGATAGAGAAAGGATAGGGGTTGGTCCATCCCCAGCCCTGTTGGCCTGTCCGCAGCCAGGCAGCCTTCTCCCCGTTGTCCCCTGTATCTGGTCCTCAGTACTGTGGGAGACAGAGCGAGTGCTGTTGAGAGAGAGAGCCCAGGCTCAAATCCCAGCTCTTCCACTCACTGGGGTGAACCACGTGTTCCCTCTTGAGTTTCAGTTGTCTCTGCCGAGGGCTGTTTTGATGGATGGAAGCTATGTGTATGAAGCAGTTCTTAGGATGCTGCACCCGCAGGGACACACTGGTTAGATACTAATTGACTGGTCAGCAGGGGAGCTAGCAATCCCTTGCCTGCTTCTGGATTTTACAGGAAGCTGAGAACATCCTCCAAGCCACTGGAGGATGAGTGTCCTGGGTTTGCTTCAGAACCCTGAAGGGCTCAGGAATCCTGCCACAGGCTTGCTGTGTGACCTCTGTGTTTCAGTTTCCAATGAAGAACACGATCAGAATTTCTCAACACTGATTCAGAATCACTCCATTAAAATTCTCCCAAGATGCTTGTTAACAAATGCAGATTCTGGGCCCCATCACAAAACAGAAATTTGGGAGTGGGGCCCAGCAATGTGCATTTTGGCAAGCTCTCTCATTGACTCTGAAGCACCTGGAGGTTCTAGACCCTGGGCTCTAGTCTCCCTACATGGCCTCTTTCTCTGACTTCCTGGGAAATGTCCCCTTGGCTAAAGAGAGTCTTGCAGTCTGGGGACAACTTTTCTTAACCAATGACCCATAGCTCAGGAAGGTGACCCTAAGAGCTGCAAAGGTTTGGCAGGCTCTGCCTCTGCTTCTGTGCTATGGTTTGGCTATTCAAGCCATGCACACCCTGGCCTCCCTCTCCAGCCTCCCCTGGCACTGCAGCAAGATGGCTCTGCCGAGTCACCCACACCCTGTTCTGCATCCTAACCAGCTGGCACTTGTCCTGAAGGGCAGGCGCCTCTGCAGCCACACTGGGGCAGAGGGATTTATGGACTCCCCCTGGGGAAGGAAGGAAAGAAAAAAGTTTTTCTTTCTCTTGGAGGAAGTTTGTGGTTGTATTTTGTAGGGAGGGGGCACAACTCCTCCTGGGTTGTCCATATCTTTCTGGGTTTGGCATGGAAAATTCTGGTCCTGGGAGCAACCTCAGTCCTAGGCAAAGGGGGACAGTTGGTTATCCTGTTGGTGGGCCTTGTTCCTGGTGGAAATGAAGTATACTCTAATTCCTTCATGCAATGAAGAAGGTGAGCCACCCCTGAGGAGGCTGAGAGAGAATGAAGGGACCACAGAGAAGTGGAGTTGACACAGCAGAGGCAGTGAGCAGAACAGACAGTGTGTGTGGATTATGAGTGGAGAGGGGTAGAACTTGCCTTGGGGCACCAACCATCAAAATGGCAGCTGCTCTCAGTGTGGTTGGATAAACTAGGATGGGGCACTTTTTGGGTGAGGGAATATTCTAGATTACCAGGAGTGTGGGTTGCATAGGAGTATCCGCTTGTTAAAAGGTAGGGTTAAAATTTGTGTGTGTTTTAAGTCTGCCTGTAATCCCAGCACTCAGGAGGCAGAGACAGGACAATACAAATTTGAGGCCAGCCCAGGCAAAGTTACTGAGACCCTATCTGAAAAACAAAGTAAAGCAAAAAGGATTGGGGGTGTGGCTCAAGTAGAGCACCTGGGATTTCCAAGATGGCGGCTGGAGGGAGGAAGCAGAAAGTGAGCCTCCTAAAGTGAAATCTTGGAGAGACGCTGGAGACACACCTTGCAGGCAAGGCCACCGAGAAGAGGCAAAACTTTGACCCCTCCACATCTCCAGCCTGCGCAGAGAATCTCCACTTCACATTAAACGGAGAAACCAGGAGGGCCCCCGGGCCACCGCCAGACGCCTGCACCCAGACGGCTTGGGAAGATGTGGACCACAAGGTGAGCTAAGCGGTACCGCGGTAGCCCCACAGACAAGCCTGGACCAGAGCAGCATAGCCCCCTGGACAGACTGACGTCCACCCGGGGAAAAAAGAGAAACTGAGTAATAAGCAATAAGAACAATAAAGACAAGCTGAAAAGAGGGTGAGGCGCCCTGAGCACTGAAGAGGAGGGGAGGGGACTCCCTCACAGAACTGTAAATAAACAAGCTGGGCCTGGCCGGAGAGGGTGGGAGTGCCCAGCAACAGGAGCGGGAAAGCTTGCAAAAGTGGCCATGGGAGGAAAACTACACAAGGAGGGGGGAAGACCCACCTCCCACATAAACTGTAAATAAACACCCAGGCCAGAGAAAGGGTGCAGTGTCTCCTTCCCCAGTGTGCTTGGAAAGGGGAAAGCTTGTAGCAGAGGCTCCCGCACAGGAGAACTCTGAGCAGACAAAGCCTGCAGGGCCAGGTGAGTGCTCAGCTCACCCCAGAGATCTGCATAAATAACGCCTCCAGCAACAGCAGGCTGACAGCAGCGGGCAGGCAGGCCACAGCTGCAGATACCATTCTCAGAACTGTCTCCAGACTCTTTTTTTTTTTTCTTTTTCCCTACCTTTGATGAGAGAACAACCGAATTACACCTGCAAGCAGAAAAACTTACTGAAACTGTATTGCATTTGAACTTGGGACACTTGGTGGGGTTTGTGTGTGTGTGTGTGGTGTGTGTGTGTGTGTAGTTTTGTTCTACTTTATGCATCCCCTTTGATGAGACAACTACAGAACAACATCTGAGGCACCATCTCCAGGATTGGAGACTGAGGAACGAACACGAAAATTATTAAGACTGAAACTTCATTGCATTTGAACTTGGAGGTTTTTTTTAAATTTTTATTTTATTTTATTTTATTTTTTTATATATATACATTTTTCTTTCATTTACTTATTTTTAATTTTTATTCTTATCTTTACTCTTTTTATTTTTTATTTTCAATCCTCTCTCTGTCTCTCTAATGCTTTTCAGCTTACTGTTGATTAGTACACTGTCTCTCCCTGTTTATATCTTTGAAACTTTTTTTGTTTGTTTCTTTTTTTTCTACTTGATTATTTGTTTTTCCCTTTTCCTTTAATTTCTTTGCTTTCCCTCTCCTCTCACCCTTCCATTCTAAATATCACTAGTGCTATTATTACAAGCCAGAAAAT